GTTGAATAGATACACAGTGCTGTTTTTTTTTCTTTGCCTCCAAATTTAATCTAGCGGAGTTCATAAAAGGGGCACTGTGTCAGAAGGAGAGCGGCAGAGAAAGCCTGATGTGTGTTTGTGCTGGATGTACTTTCATCTGGCACATCTCACACCCACTCTGTCTGCAGATATGTTGTAGCAGGCACTCTGAAGCCAGAGCAGCAGCCTTTCAAACAAGGTTGGCTGGTCGGGGGCTGAGAGGGCTTACTGGTAAATTGGCAGCCCAGGGAATACAGGCTACTCTCACCCCAGCGCTCACCCACTCACATGCTTTTATTCCCCTTTTTACCCTTGACCACTGACTGACTGCACTCTTTCTCACTGGCCAGCATAAATCTGTCTCTCTGTCATCTGTTCATTGTCTGTCTTCTCTCTCTCTCTCTCTGCTCTTGCCCACACTCTTTTTAAAACAATTCTCTCTCAGCTTTTCAACTGAGTCAAAGCATCGCTCATTCAGGCCATTCATCTTTCTGCTCTTAAGTATATCCTTCCTTATCTGTGTGTCACTCCTTATGATTAATAACACTCTCGTTCATCTGGCTAATTACATCCTTCAGTAAAGGCAAAAAAAAAACTAACAAAAAAACAAAACAAATGTGCACAAGTGTACACTTACTAGCCACACAGACACACACATACACATTCATGCTCATGCGTGCATGCACTGTAGGCATACTAACCAAATCTGTTTGAAGTGTGGGACCCTAAAAGAAGAGAGGGCTCCTGTATCCATTAAGTATTCATGTGATGTGTGGTGGAGTGCATGCATGCGTGTGTGTGTGTGTGTGTGTGTGTGTGTGTGTGTGTGTGTGTGTGTGTGTGTGTATGCAGGGATTTGTATGAGGCAGTGTGTGTTTGTGTGTGTGTGTGTGTGGAGAGAGAGAAAGAGAGTATTTGCAAATTGTGCCATGAGCAGCCAGCAATTGAGCTCTGACACCTCGTCTGGCGGTTGGAGGGAAAAGGGGCTGGGCTGAGGAAAGAAAAAGAGAGAGGCAGAGGAGGGAGGGAGGGAGAGGGGAGGGAGTGTGTGTATTTGTGTGTGTGTGTGTGTGTGAGTGAGAGAGAGAGAGAGAGGAGCAGGGAGATACAGAAACGGCAGGACAGCTGCCAGCATTTCTCTGATATCGAGAGAGGGACCGAGAGGCAGAAGAGGACTAGGAATTCTTCTTACTCTCAGCCACCCAAGGAAATCTTCCAGCCCAGCCAGGTGTAATGGTTCTCTTCCCCTCCTCCAGTCTGTGAGCAGCAGAGACTCTAGGAAGGACCTGGACATCAGGACCTGGAGCCACTCAGAGCAGACACACCTTACTGGATTATCTGAACGAGAGAATGACACACAGCCTGTGGGATGAATGTCGAATTGGATGTGAGAAAAGGAAAACTGAGTTGGAGAGGAAGCTTTTGCTGGTTTTTAGTATGTCTATACTGACACTGAACTTTTGCTGGTGAAGAGGCATGGAAAGACTTAGATGGTGCATGAAGAGAGGAGGTGTTTCTTCTCATCCTGATCTCCTCCTTGTCTCCTCCTAAGAAGATTTCTGGACTACCTGCACCCCCTCACTGTGAACCTACTGCTTTTCCTGGAGGGTACTCATCCTGTCTGCACACCTCCCCCCACCGCCCCACCTAGCGCTGGATCTGTTTAGTTTCTATGACACCCTTGCCTCCTCCTCCTACGCTCTCCGCCCCTACCAAGACTCTTACAAACCTCTGTGAAATCAAGTGGAACCTCAATGATTGTGATCAGAGCAAAGAGAACCCTAGTGCCTCAACTAGTGACTGGCCGTGCCTCTCCCTGTTCTCAACAACAGTGCTGGCATATCGAATGTGCAAGTAATGGAGACCAGTAACAGTACACACATGGACCACAAAGTTGAACTCTATCAGTTGTCTGTTTTTTGACTATGACCATAAACTAGATAATGGATTGGAAAGAGCTGTAAGTACACCATTGCAGCATGTTTTTACTGGTGCATATTGAAACAAACCTTTAGCTTGTATAGCACTCAGCAGAGCATATACACTATGTGACTATTTTGTACAAACTTGAAACTGAGGCATATCAGAGCCT